ATGAAAGTAGTTTCATAGCAGAAATAGTCTTATGTGTAGTTCTTATTGCTCCTTGATAAATTGCAGCTAGGGTTAAAGAGTCATGTCTGTGTCTCCCGATTGCTGTTATTAAAGGTGTGAGCCACCACTGCCTGACTTAAAATAGGTAATTTATAAAATAGCAGTTTTAAGTACTTCACAACTCTGGAAGTTCAAGAGCATGATGCAGATATCCTCAGCTGTGGTGAGGGCTTCATGGCAAGGTCTTCACAAAAGGGGTAATGTGAGAAGTTTTGAGAACATCAGCAATGGAGCCCATGTTTTCTGCCTCAGAGGTTAAAAGACTGAGACTTTATACTAAGTCAACATGAGGAATGTCCTTGAAACCCAAGATAGAATACTGCAAAGAGACAACAGTTTAACATTGTAGATTTGGGGCCAGTTTTCTCTTTCCCTCCCTTTCCACACTGCTTTTCTATCCTACTTTTCTTGCTTTGGGGCAATTACCAACTATATGGAAATTTACCTTTGCAGGCATTTAAGTTTAGTATTTAGTATTTTCAGAATTACTTTTAGTATTTTGTGGTGGATTATGGGAGAGAAGACGTACTACAAATATCAGAACTGCTCTGAGGTCTGGGATGTGGTTAGAAACCGGAAACAGCGTCAGTCAGTCAACAGAGTTATTGGAAAGGAAAACTTTATCCATGTCTTTAATAGTTGCTCAAAATGACTTGTCATTAACTGACTGGAACACATACTTAAAATATGATCATCACTCCCTGGTCCTTCTTCTGATGGTTCAGACTTGGGAGGCATTGAGTTGCATCAGGAAAACTGTAACTAAAAGTACAAGTTCTCAGGCCCTAGTGTCTGCCTAAAATTACCAGAGTGTCTCCGGATAGCTTCAAACTTGCATTTATTTAGATAGATGCAAACTTAATAGTTGTAGTTACAAACATAGTCCAACAGATGTCGGTGTTTCCCTCAAAAACTAAATTCTCCCACAGAAACCCCAGGTGTTCCCCAAAGCAAACCCCAGGGCACAGCAGTGAAGTTTTTGAACTGCAGCCCAAAGGTAACATCTTCCTGGGATCTAAGTAAAATACCTAAATAGGCTCTGTGCAGCAAAGTAAAGAGTGGGTTTCATAAATATCGTGACGTTTTAATCATTTGCTGCTGTTTTTATGTTTATTATTGCTTATAGACAAAGTATACCAAACATTTTTCTATATAGAGGTTCAGGATAAATACTTCAAGCTTTGTAGGGGCACTGATGGTCTACACTGCAGTCTTTGTTAGAGTTCTTTAACACACATGAAAAATTGTACTCTCTCAAATTCAACTAACAAGCAGTAAGTCTGCTAGTGACTGCTGCCATCGAAAGCCCAGAGTAAACAGTGAAGTGTAGTTCAGTGAGTGATTTCTGGAGGCTGGAGTCTCCGTGTTTGCAGATCTCACCTGTTTAGCTACTAAGACTGCAAAAAAATGCAACTGAGCAAGAATACTTGAAGGGCCTGCTTGAGCTCATAGCTATTGTAAATGGTGGAATTTTACTTTATATTAAGGAGATTTGAAAGCAATTCCAGCTTAATAAAGAATGCCTGTTAAAATTCCCAAGGAGAGCAATTACTGCACTAAAGCTTTTCTCACTTTTTAGGCTAATGACTGTAAAGGGCTAATGAGACCCCACACTTATAACAATCCTCAGCTCAGATTACATTCAATAACTTGATAGAATATGTCATTTGAGATTTCTAGCTTTTTCTTCCAAAATCCATGATGCTGTATTAAAACTAAGCACTGAGCTTATATATCAGCTTCTAAAAACAACAGAAACAAGCTGGTGGTGCCATACTCCTTTAATCCCAGCGTTAGGGAGGGAGGAAGAGGCAGGTGAATCTTTGCTTTGATACCAGCCTGGATCACAGCTACACAAAGAAATCCTGCCCTGGAAAAAATCAAACCAAACCAAACTAAAACCATCAGAAACAAATCTTTCTACGTTGTTCATAAAATAAATACCACTGGCAATAATAGTCTCGAAAAGACTAGAAAATTGCCTACGTAAGTTACAATCTATTTATTTATTTATTTATTTATTTATTTATTTATTTATTGAGTCGGGATCTCACGATGTACCCTTGGCTGGCCTGGAAATCTCTATGTAGCCCAGGCTGGATTTGAGGCATCCAGATCTACCTGTGTCTGCCTCCCAAGTGTTGAAATTAAAGGCATGTGTCACCAAGTCCAGCCAGAATCTATATTTTAAAGTACATTTTTTTTCCTTCGTTTTTTCGAGACAGGGTTTCTCTGTGTAGCTTTGGAGCCTATCCTGGCACTCGCTCTGTAGACCAGGCTGGCCTCAAACTCCCGCCTGCCTCTGCCTCCTGAGTACTGGGATTAAAGGCGTGCGCCACTAACGCCCGGCTTAAAGTACATTTTAAAAGTGCACCATTATTATAGTTTCCATATAAGAATTTCCCAGGAAATTAACCAGGAGTTAATGCCCCTATACTCTGTTGGGGCACTCTGAAAGGATTGCTGGTCACATTCTGTGGTTCATTCTGTCTTATAAAGAACGGAATATTAGCAAAAGGACAATCTGCCTTCTACTGTGAAACACAGACTGGAACACAATTACACTATCTCATGGAGAGCGTTGTGCTCTTCATCACTATAGTTACAGCTTCTCTTGGGCCATTTCGCGTTTCAGAGAGAGCCTCTCCTCCTCCGCCATAGGGTTACTGGTTCCAGTCCCAACGGTTCTGGGGCGCAGCTGGACGCTCGCAGGAGGGAACCCTGGGCTTACACAAAAGGCAGGAGTGGGCCACCCCAGCCAGCCCATGCTGGGGAGGCCGCCGCGTGACGTCAGGGCCCGCGGGGCCAGTGTCCGCCAGCACCCTGGACCCCGAGTCACCGCCGCCGCCTTGCGGAGGTCACCACGGGGTGACAGGAGGAGGGGCAGCGCCGGCGACGCCCG